CTCCTCCTCCTCCTCCTCCTCTCTCTTTCTGGCTATTCTAATTAGTCTTCATGCTTCCTCCAGATTTAAACTCCACCACTGCAGCGAAGTGGAACAGTGGGCGCTCTGCTCCAGCACTCCTGGGTCCATGCTCCACCTCCCCCTATCCCTAACTGGTCCTGCCACCGGTCCCTCCGCCCTCCCCAGCCCCTGATCCAGCTGGTACCCAAAGCTGCCCCCACCCGCAGCCGAGCCATGGGCTCTTCCCACTCGATGTCAGAGGAAATCCAAGATCTCGCCCACAAGACCGGCTGTGAGTACCGAGTTCCCCGGCGGCGTCTCCCCTTCCCTGGGTTTGACTCTCGCGTCCTCTGCGCGCGGTGGCTGCGTCTTCCGCCGCCCAGGAGGAGGAGGAGGACGGCGACGACGACAATGATGCTCACGTTGCGTCTCTCGTTCTCTGCCCCGGGCTCTCCTGCGCCCCTTGCCGGGCTCCGAAAGCGTCTCCCGGGGCACTTGGGGTGGGGCGGCGGGCCAAGGAATCCGGGCGGGCAGCTCGCGCAACTTCGCTCGCCTGGTCTCCTTCCTTGCAACCCAGCGGGCTTTCCAAAACAGTGACCATTCTGCCCGTTTTGGGGAAGTTTGTTTCGGGGACTTTCAGGCTGAGCATTTCCTGCCCACAGACCTTGACGCCTTCCCCGCCTGGCGGCTTCTCAGAGGCCCCGCTTCTTCCAGAGGTGGAACTTTGGAAATTCAACTCTTTGTAGGCAGGGTGGAGGCCAGGAGAAGCATCGCCTGGGCGCGAGAGAGAGAGGTGGGAAGGTTTTCGGGGAAACCCTGGAGTTGCAGAAGTGCTTCCAGGCCTAATGAAAAGAAAAGGTCCTTAGGAGAGAAATGGCAAGGTGGGCAGGAAAGGAGAAGTCAAAACAACGCGGTGGCGAGCGAGCAAACTCAGGGCCCACGGAATGGGAGCCACCCAAAAGGGGAGAATGGAAAACCCTGGGGAGAAGAGTGGGATGGCCCAGCTGGCTGGCACCATGAACAGGAACAGTCTATCTTGCATCATTTTGCAGCAGCTCTCAATCATACCTAAAGGAAACAAGCCTGGAGATGATGCTGTCCTGCAGTCCTGGACTTAAAAACTAGGAAGCTCAAGAGGGGGAGCCATTGTGTTGGTGAGAGACGCCCAGATTCTTAACAGCCGAGATTGAAAAGGGTCAGAAAGTGTATTTAATTCAATCAATCCTTCACAAGAACAGTTGGGCTGCATCCTCTTGTCGTCACACTAGCTAAAGGAAGGATTGATGTTCGTTCTAAGGGATGAAATGCTTTCATTTTAAAAGGCAGCTCTCCTTTCTATTAAAGTTTCCACCCCTAGCAGTGGATATATTAATGAAATAGAAGTGGTGGTGCCCCGGTTAAGACTGTTTTAGTTTCTCCAAAGTTGGCTTTAGTTCCGAGGTGCTTTTGAAATCCTTCTGGATGGGTCTTGGGAGAATTTTGGAGCAGTTTTGATGCAGCTGGAGGTAGTCAAAGGATTGCTCTTGCTGAAGTTGCTTTCTGAGCCCCTCGGGTTCATCGGGGGCTCGCTGTCCGACAGAGCTTTCAAGCAGTAAAAATCCCCTGGGAAAAGTTCTTTTGGGGAATTCAATGGCAGGGCTGAAAGTCAGGGAAGCTACCCAGCGGTAGAGAAACAAAAGGGGATTCCCACAGGCTCCTTGGCCCTCACGTGGTGGGTTTTTGTGTTTTAATCTTGCAAGCTGCCCAGAGTCACCTGGGGGCAGCTATATAAATCATACAAGCAAATAAAATCATGTCCCTAAAGAAGTACCTGAAAAAGCAGAGTTCACCTGTGCAAATGCACTTCTCCTCTGAAAGACATTTTGAAAGCCTTTTTTTAAAAACTCCAATTGGCTGCCATCCACTAGGACAAGTTTTCTGATAGGGCACTAAGTTAGGTGTATTCCAGGACGGAGCATCTGAGTTGCATGCAGAAGATGCCAGCTTCGTTGCCGTCTCTCCGGATCAGGGAGGGCCATCCAAGAAAGTTCTGATCGTTTAGGAAGGGCCAGTCTGCCCCGAGTTGGAAGTTTCCGGCTGGGGAGATAGGAAGCTGAAAGCACCAGGTCCCGAAACACCAATATAGATTCGTTACTTGTGATTTTCAATGGGGGGGGGTATTTATATTTTTATTGTTTTTATTGTCTTGGTTTTTAATTGTAAGCTGCCCA